CCTGGAAGTGAAACATTGTTTCCTTGTACTGCCCAGTAAATGTATCCTTCGTGAAGCACACCTCCCGTCGGTTGATATACCGGCGGATCGGTTACGAATGCGTTCACGGTCGGCGGATCGGTGCTCAGGTCGATGGCAATATTAGAGAGGTTCCCAGGGGGCCCATCCTGCGTTGTGAAGAGGGTATTGAGCTCCGGAACGAACATGGGAGCTTCATGTATGACGTTGAGCAAGGGAACAAAGTTCTTCAAGATCTTGGGCGAAGGCCCAAGCAATTCCAGGCCAAGCTCTTTGTCAAAGACAACGAAGTCGGCAGTGGGAACGAGGGCGGCCCATGAAGGATCGTCAGGAACCAGTGTTCCCGAATAGCCAACGTTTGGATCTGAGTCTCGCCAAAAGGAGGGAGGTAGGACACTACCATAACGGTGAATGCAAGTGATGTTGGCAGTTGTAGGTCCACAGGCTGAAGCAATGGGGACAAAGCTTGAGTTGGGAGCAAGAGCATATGCGAGAGACACGGTGCAAACTAAGGCCACGCATGGCATAAGCTGAGATCTGAACATGGCGAAAATGCGTACGTTATACGGCTAAGGTCTTGTATGTCCGAGCGAGAAGGTCTTCTCCTTTTGTGGTATTTGATCTCATTGTGAACCAACATGTTACAGAGATGGCCAAGACGCAGTCGGTGAGGCATCTTGATTTCATTGCGTCGCAAAGCCACAGGTGTCGGTGAGATGGTAAGCAGTACCGTTACACACCAGCCCTGAGGCCTCGAGTGGACGCACGCTCTTGCTGGCATGCCAAACCATCTCGACGTACCGTACGGGTAATCCAAGTGGTAGATGCTTTGGGACATTTAGCTCACCGACTGATTCATTGCTGACTCTAGACCATACATACTTCTCTGCTTCCACTAGCCATCTTTTTCCGTGGGCTTGACATGTGCATGTAATTCCCGGTCGCCCTCTTGAGCGCACAAGATCGGGCTGCGGGCATGGGGAGGCCGATGATGTTCCTGGACAGCGCATTGAGCAGTCCGCGTCTGGCACCCTCCATGACGGCACTCTGACCAAGGCACACCACTGGGATCAGAGCGGTCTGCAACACAAAGTTGAAGATAGATTAAGCATACGGCCCAAGCGGCCAAGCTGACCAAGCTGATATTACCCGGACTAGTCACGCATTCCTGAATCCTGCCCCCGGTCCACGGACCGTGGCTATTTTGCCCCACCAGCGCCACCGGCGGCTGATCGCCAGACGGAGATGCACGTCACGTCGTTTGCGGATAGCAGTAAGTTGATACTTTACTTCCCCACATATGGCAAATGTGAGAAGGCGTATTTGTCTGACAGGCCAGACAGGGACTTTTGCTGACATACAGGAATGGCAACAGGGTGGTCCAAACTCTTTTGGGAAGGATTTGAAGAAAGGGGATTCCTGACTTGCCTCATCCCCCCCATTCAGACTGACAACCGGCTGCACAGGTTTGCAAGATGAGCATCTATTGGATCTAAAAAAAAACCACGCAAAGTAGTAGGACTACAATGTAATATTGTGGAAGGTGAGTGTATCTGTCCCTACTTGCCTGAATTTTAGGTATTGAATCTATGCTACTCCTTGCTCCTGCGATGTTGACAGAACCGTGCGGCGCCAAGAAACATGCATCCCACGGCCATGGATGACCCGCCAAAGACCTGTGCATACAGGTAACTGCCATTGCCAATGTCGATCAGTCTGCCGGCTAACGGGGGTCCTGTTAAGCATGCAATGCTCCCCACAGCAAACACCATACCGACCCGGGATGCCATTTTGGACAAATCGGTAGTGAGCAATGAAAGCGTAGACGGGAACAGTGTCTGGACCGCATTTGCACAGATACCGTACAATGTGACAAATGCGTAGTAGGCGCCTGGCTCATGTATCCCTGCCCATGCGTAGAGCATAGTCGCGCCAGCACCGACAAATGGAATCAGCACGTTGAAGGCTCCAAAGTAAGCATCTGCTAGGAAGGCGGGAATGATGCGACCCGGAATGCCTACAGCATTGAGAATGATGAGCAGCGTTAGGGAACTGCTTTCAGATATACCAATCACTTCGCGGCCAAAAGTCGAAGTCTGGGCAGAAGAGTATTAGCCAAAGAGCGATGTATGCCCAGAACTAGATACTTACGTAGAAATAGGCAATGTAAACGCCCCAAAGAGTGAAGAATATTCCAACAGAGAATAGCGAGTAGACTGGGTCCTTGAAGGCCCTCGGGTCTACAAGCGGTCCTTTCGTGCGATTGAACTGGCGAGGCCTCGCTAATAGCATGATGATAATTGCGTTGAAGAGCATAACAAAGCCCATGATGCGAATGGTCCATGGGTATCCAAGGGTAGGTGATAGCTCCCTGGAGATGATGGGAAAGACGATACCTCCAACTGGCGCACCGCAAGCTGCAAGACTCAGAGTAAAGGCTCGCCTTTTGGTCCAGTATATGGAGACCAAAGCGACACAAGGTGTAAATAGAAGACCATTACCGATTCCCTGTGCTATCCCTTGAGCTAAAATGAGCTGCCAGTACTGTGTAACAGCCGATGTTGTGAAAACGGCAAGAAGCTGGAAGCCGCACCCAACCAAGATGAGAGATCGGAAATGACCACTATCCATGAGCGGACCTGAGAGTGTGCCCAGAAAGAACAAAAGAAAGAGCGAAATGGAGCCAACCCAAGAAATGTCCGATGCCGATCGATTGAGTGACAGCATCCAATGACTTTGGAAGAGACCAAATGAAGAGAAGTAGCCAAAACCATTCACCACGATGAGATGGCTGACCAAAACCTGGGTCCAAGCAACAAAGCCGCCGTTGAGCCTGACTTGCTGCTTCTGAGGCTCCACAAAGTCCTCTTTAGTGTCAATCATTTCTTGGGTAAGGTTTTCTGGGGAGTAGACGATGGATGCGGTGGAAATGTTGGACGAATTCATGTTGTGCTGTTCTGTAGATAGAGAGACGACGCTGGGTCTTAGAGAACGTAAATGTGAGAAGATATAGATTACACAATGAAGTTCGGAGTGTAGATTGATCCCTTGGCAACAGTCAAACGTGGTTTTTCGCACTGACCACGTGATTTTCGACCAGACGTCACATCAAGGGTCCTCATGAAGCTCACCTCAGCCTTCACCTCATTTTCATGCATTTGAATACTGTACTTACTGTATATGCCTATTCCTGGAACATAGATGCATTTCGGCCTCATTAGGGTGGTACATGAACATAACCGGACAAGCTGACGAAGGGATGCTGCCACAAAGGCGATACGAGTAGGATTCAGGTGGCAACGTGCACAGCTAGCTTGGGATAAGGGCTGAATGCAACAGCTGGTCTCGACTTGCGGTGTCTCAATGCAACTAAGTCTGACCCACGAAGTCCTATTCACCGGTTAAAAAATGTTTCGGATGAAGCGAGACTGCTTCAGGGAGCCAGTGACGAGCTGCGCTGGACATCACGCCCTGAATCTTATCATTATGAGAGGGGGCCATGTGCAAATCTCTCAAGGCAGGGGGCCACACATGGATTCACGTAATGTTTCGAAACTGAGGTTGATGACCTGTACTTCAGCGGCAGTCAGAGACTGTGATGACCTTGACCCTTTTAAAGTAGATCTTTTCGCCGTATCTTTTCGGGATCTTTGCAAACTCACTCAAGAACAACCTGTTAACTCGAAGTTTCTATCAACCCATATTGACCATGGAAGCACGTATGCTCTCTGTTCAGCAGATGCTCAAAGTCTATCTTGACGGGGCCGCTCGCATTCAATCATCCATTCATACATCTCATGAAGGCAATGATAAAATCGCAATCACAGATCACCGCAACGTTGAAGGACGTTCTTCTGTCTCCGGTACGCATCCATTATGGCTCGGCACTTCGCCTCTCTAAATTCAGTGTAGCATCTCCAAAGCCAGCGTTAGAAGCACTTCCTAGCAGGAGTGCTGTCTCAAATGGTGACCTAAAACATCACGAAATCACTACCATGGAGATCAAAGGGGTCGCCAGTATCAACCGTAACTGTGCCTTTAGCAAGGTTAAGCAGCATACAGTGGAGGAAATTCAGAATGACTCTGGTATGTCCTCAACGTAAGCCATAATATCGATGCCTGTAACTCACCTCGATTTCCAAGGTTATGCCACGCCGAGCCTCGAGCTTGATACAAAAGAAATCGAGCAGCTCGCCAGCAAAATCCTGGATGTCATTCAGCGGTACGGGCAGCACATTGCCCCAAAGAGCGAGGAAGAGCACCTGCCCGAGTGGATTGGTAAACCCCTATTCATGGAAAAGGTGATGTCACAGCTTGAAAAGGGTGAACCTGTGAAGATGATTCTTCCAGCATTTCCCTGGAAGAGTGTAAGTCGTTCCAGCCTGTTTAAAGTTTCGTCTAACATGAAGATAGATCAACAAGGTCGACAAAGTCACTGGGGTCTTGCCGGACCTTGGTGAGGAGCTAGCCCTCGCCCGTCTCAATCAGATGTGCGAAGACATTCGTACTGTATATCCGATGGGCGGTCAGGTCTGGCTTGCGACAGATGGCCTAGTCTTCGACGACGTTGTCGGGATTCCTGACCTCGAAACTTGGACATACAGCGAACGACTCTTTCAGATCACACAAGAATGCGGTTTCGACCAGAACATCCGCTTACTACGTGTGATGGACATCCTAGGCTATACCGCAGGACGCAAACTGGACTGGGAGCTATACATCTCACTTGCACAGCGATGCCGGGATCACCTTATGGCTAGCTATGGCCGCACTGAAGACGAGGTACGGGCAATGATGCGTGAAGACAGCGATACGCTTCTCACGTATTGTGGCTTCATCCGCTTTCTAGAATCCGATCTCCGATACAGTCATATAGCGACGACCGCTACGAGCGGTCAAAAGTATCGGAAGTGTGTCAAGAAAGTGGCGATCAACATGATGATCAGAGCTGAGGTAAGAAATACTTTGTGTATCCATAGTCAGTAACTTACACGGCGCAGTCATTCACGAAGTTGCTTCAGTCAAGTTACACGGATTATGTGCGGCTCTCCATTCATCCTTCCACTGGCACTGTGAAGCTCTCTATCCCTCTTATCATCACTGGCACTGGCGAGTTTCCACGCACACCCTGGCACAGCTCCATTGCACTCTCTGTTACTGGGGTCTACAGTACGGTGCACAGGAAGAACGTACAGGAAACTCACACGTCCATGTTTCGCGAGGACGATAATGACTCTTCTTCCCCGCATTATTTCCGCGAAAAATCCACTCTGTGGGACTGGGAGGACAAAGATGTAGTATTTCAGCCGCATTTCCCGAATACCCTGATTGTGCGACCAAGGAGCACCATTCCGTCTGGCGCGAAGACATTGACCGGTGAACAGATTACGAAACTGCGGGCGTTGATCGCTGTACACACGGCGGGGCCCGTCATAATCGAGGGGTTCGCAAACACAGACATGCTGGACACCGTGGCAGCGGCGGTGTGAGAGATGCGAGATCGCAGTGCATATTCATTTGGATTATCATTTGGTCATCAGATAATTGGTATCCACTATTCAATTGCTTCCTTGTACCTAGAAATAAGCAGCCCAGCCGTTTTAGATGAATTTACCGTTTACTAGATCCAAAAGCAGATCTGTAGGTGACTTTTTATAAGGTCTGTGTTGAGTTTCCACACTTGCTGAACATTGATCAAGCAAGGCTTCTCGTTCCATACCTAATTTGAGACCCAAGAAATGACGCTCAATTGCTAAAGTCTTACAGTACCGGAACTAGACAATCATTATTTCCGTACTACTCCTCTTTGAACTAAACAGATTCCTGTTCGAGGTGCAGATGTCGCGTTACACTGCGTGTTAACTAATATAACAACTTAGCAAGGAACATCGCAAATCTGTTCCTGGTTTGAGCGACGCACACATGACCGGAATGTGAATGTTTGATTCGAGCAAGTCCTATCTGCAGCGTAAAAGGTAAGAAATTTTGCATTGACGCGCAAAAAAATGTGCAAGGATAATGACATCCCTATCGAGCAGAGTGGCTTGAGCCACTTTGGGCAAGATATCTTAGTAAGACGTCGGATTACCTATTCCAGTTTCACATGACTATGCATACAACATGGGCGATATTACATAAAAATCACCTGCATTGTTCACTGTGCCTGAAGCTTGCATCTCACTTACTCCACCCTGCAAGTGTCTGACAGGGTTCCGTGGTGCGGAGGTAGACTAAGCATATGCATTGAGACCTAAGCTTTTCGGCGCTTATTGGACTCGGGTAGTACATAGATCGCATCTCGTATCGTATTGCGGTTGATTCATACTACCTGTCGCTTATGGCCAACACCCTGGAACCGAAAGCCTGTGGGTAGAGGCCGTGCACCAAAAACCTGGATACTATGTAATTGATGTACAAATCGAATTGTCTTGGTAAAATTTTGACTAGTCTGTCTAGATACCCGCATCAATCTGATCAACGGTATTATTCCGGGTCCACAACTCCCAGTCCTTGCAAGTCTGCTGCATCACCTTCGGAACGATGGCGTCCACACTGCGAAAGCTTTCTTGAAGCTCGTCACCGCCCTCCAAAAGGGCAATGTTCAACCCCATACTTGCGTGCCACGCGACATGACAATGGTAACTCCAGGCACCGGGGTTGTTGGCCTCATATTGAATCACGAGATGCCCGTATCGTGGTTGCATATGTGTATCGCGTCGAGCAGGATTGTCAGGGTTGATTATTGTTTTGCCGTCCCAGGCGCCGGGACCTTGTGCAAGAACTTGCTATAAGGGTGCCACAGTAAATATATGTTTTTGGAAGTTGAGTCAGGGGACTTACAAAGGCGTGGCCATGCAGATGCATTGGGTGTGCGGACTGATATACCGTATTTAATACAATGCGAACAGTCCGATTAGATCCAAAATTGTATACATTCCATTCATCTGGGATAGTTGTGTTGCCTTGGGCAGCCTCTAGCAATAGTGGACGATGGTAGTTTGATCGCTGAGTGCGGTTGTTCATGTGCCAAACGTGGTGACCTGTAGCGTTTGTATACAAGTCCACTTGAATGGTTTCCACAACGTCCGGTTCATCAACAGGATGAGGAAAATAGGGGACCGTCCTATTGAGCTCGTCGTTTTGACAAAGAAAGGCCTGCTCGTTTGCGGCTGCGGCGGCGATACTTATATTAGTCGTGGGCAACTCAATCTGATCGTTACCTTCGTAGGAAAGCACGGCAAAAGAATTTGCGTTATTTGTGACTGAGCAATTCAGTGAAATAGTCGAGCGGATCCAGTAGGTCTCGTCTGGATTGGCATCGGCTGTGACAAGGATATCGGTTCGTTGTGCGGCTCCAAGCGTGATGAATTCTGTCTCATATGGGATGACAGGCTCAAAGTCATGTGCTATAACTTTCATCCGATGTTTGTCGATACTGAAGTGCAGGAGGGCGGCAGCACCTACATTCATCAAGCGGAGTCGGTGTGTCTTTCCGGGGAGGAAGCGGAACTGGGCAAGCCCAGCGTTGGAATGGCAAGTAGCGTTTTCAGCAGCCATGGAGCAGTTATATTGATTCTTCCCATTAATCAGATTATTATCGCTCCAGGGAACATAGACGTTGAAATCTTCAGTGGGCGCAGCTGCGTCTTTAACAACGTCAAAATACTCGCGGTGATAGTGGTCCCCTAATAAAATTGGTCCAACGTCCACGTCGTAAGGTTCATGTTTTGGTCCATATATAATGAGTGGGCCAAAAACACCTGCAGTGTACTGAGCCGAGAAATGGCTATGCCACCAAGATGTGCCGTAGACATCGGCACGAAATCGATACGTGAATGAAGAGCCGGGTGCGATGGGGCATTGCGATATTCCAGGGACACCATCGTACCACGGGGAGCCTCGTTGTAAGATTCCATGCCAGTGGATCCCTGTCCCTTCAGGAGGTCCGGTAATCTGGTTGTGGACGCGGACTTCGACCCAATCCCCCCAGTTTGCTTCGATTGCGGGGCCAGGAAATTCCCCATTAACGACAATGCTACTCTTATTGTATCCATCTGGAGAAAGCCATTTCCGTGCTACAGTAAAGTCGTAGTAGCGAGTAACGCCAGTATCGGGAAGGTTTGTATAAGGGTCATTTTCCAAGCCACTTCTATTGCCCCAAGGAAACCCAGCAGGGAGAGGATTTGACGTCAAGAAATCGGGAAAAGTTGGACAGTTTAAAGTTCCCCAAGTCGAATTTCCGTTAGTTACATGTTGCGGGAGAGGCTGGCCAAGTTCCCTGCGGCTACGTTGTCAGTAACACATTGGGATCGAAAGGTGTTGGGTGAGGAATACTTCGCCCAAACATTAGTCAATAGTAGAGATATGAAACAGTGTCGGAGAGCGAGGCGCTTCATAGTTCCACTCAGCTACCAACGATCGGAAATTTTGTAACCTTGATCTAAAACTTGAAATCTTGAAACGAGTGCGTAGAGAGAGTGCAAATGTGATACTAGGCAGATAGACCGTTCCAATAGTACATGAGCGTGGCTTGAATCAGGGAATGAGATCCTTAGCTCTATGTCCATTCTATAGTCACCATGCGTAGAGCCAGCGACACCGATTTCCTAGTCCCTCATTCTGGGCAGTTTGGGCTAGAGTGTGATCTCTGGTGTCGGTGAGGTAGTATGGTGAATGACCAAGTGTGGATTCTGGGAATGCGGCGACTTACATGCGGCTGATGCCCAGATGTTCCAGCCCGTCAAGCATGACAAGGGAAATAGCAGTTTTTGCAACGTCTCATTGGCTCAAGTTTTCAGGCCGCCCAAGGAGGTGAGCATCATGTACCATGGGAAGCAGTCATGGTTGCATCGCATCGTTCGACTTGAGCTACGGTCAATGCTCAGAATTTTACACGATAACCGAGGACACCTGCAGGCTGTTTGATCTGCTGCATATTTGTGGCACGGTGCAGGAAAAGCCACCCCTAAGGCCAAATGACCTGACTCAGCAGCCAGTGCAAAAGCTCGGCCGTGATATTCGGGCCAGATGGCAGCGCCCGAAAATACTGATGCCTCTTTCAAGTCGAGTTATCTCTGAAATAGAGTCTTGACAATTACAACGCCGAGGCATAGGCCTAAGGCAAGTTGTGGCTTGCAAGTCCTCTTGAGTCAGCTATACAGACTGAGCCTCTCAGTCTCACAACACGGGTGTCTTGGCCCCACGGGAATCCTATGGACGCGCCACCAAGCTTCTGGACTATTTGAACTTGTGCAAAAATATCCATGATTCTCAGCGTATGGCGTGGAAAGACGGAAGCTTGGTCAACGACGCTTTGAACATGTATGGTTCTTTTTGTCGTGTGGCACACATCGGATCCCTAATATAGGACTGACATGAAGGTGTTTGGGCGCTTTGTGCCATGTGATCCTGGGCATAGTAGATATGAAATTCAGAAATGAAACAGACAAGGCAGTATTGGACGACTGCGGCGACCGAGTTGGTCGGCGAGATTGATGTCCAACAATGTATAACATGCAAATGAGACTCGCACGAAAAGATGAATCTAGACAGTAACATCTTATACCTCGAAATCCAATGCTTCTCTCAGCTATTACCTCGTTGGCCCTCTTCGTGACGCTGGTCCGATGTGCACCGACTGTACGTCGCGATCATCTCGTCGCTCGGAAGCTATTGGGATCGTCTTTTGGAGTCCCTAGGAATGCAACCTATGATTATGTTGTGATTGGCGGTGGAAATTCCGGCTTGACCGTAGCAGCACGGCTGGCAGAAGACCCCGCCGTGTCGGTGGCTGTGGTTGAAGCAGGAAGCTTCTATGAAATAGAGAACGGAAATCTCAGCCAAATTCCAGCATACGATACCTCTTGGTCCGGCAAAGACCCCAACGACGTCAACCGTGTAGACTGGGGATTTGTTACTGAGCCGCAGAAGGTATATTGTGACAGATATATTCGACTTTCCACACGGAGTCTGACAGTGACAGGAAATGCTGAATGCTAAAGTTCACTATGCCCGCGGCAAGACTTTGGGAGGATGCACTGCGCGAAACTACATGGCCTATCATCGAGGGACCACGGGCACGTACAAAATGTGGGCGGATATGGTTGGCGATGAGAGCTACACCTTTGACAATTTTGGCCCTTATTTCGAAAAATCCCTAAACTTCACGGAACCTAAAGGAAGTCGAGCACTCAACGCCTCGGCTGAAGTTGACATCAAGACTCTCGGCAATGGTACCGGGCCACTGTCAATCACCTTCTCCAATTACGCCAATGCCATGTCTTCCTGGGTCCAAAGAGGCCTCGCAGATATTGGCATTCACCCCCAGCAAGGATTCACCAGCGGAACCTTGGCTGGGTCTTCGTATGTCCTTGAAAACATTGATGCTACTCTTCAAACGCGCGAGTCATCAGAGACGGCTTATCTCCAACCTGCTCTCAGTAAGACTGGCCTCATGGTCTTTCAATCTACCTTGGCGAAGAGAATACTCTTCGACTCAAAGAAAAGAGCGACGGGAGTATTGCTGAAGTCGGATGGCCATGTTCCCTATGTGCTCTCGGCTAGGAAAGAAGTCATCGTCTCGGCTGGGGCCTTTCAATCCCCGCAATTGCTAATGGTATCTGGTGTCGGCCCCAAGGCTGCGCTTGAGGAACATGGCATCCCGATCGTTGCAGACCGTCCTGGTGTTGGCCAGAACATGTGGGACCATGTCATCATGGGACCTTCGTATCGCGTCAACGTCATTACGTCAAGTTCACTTGGGGATCCTGCCGTCTTAGCTGAGGCTGAGCGGCTCTACAACGAGAAACAAGAAGGGATCTTGACCAACTCAGGAGGCGACTTCCTCGCATGGGAGAAGATTCCTGCAAAGCTGCGTTCATCATTCTCCAACAACACGCTTGCCATGCTCAATGCCAGCTTCCCCAGTGACTGGCCAGAAGTCGAGTACCTTTCGATGAGCGGATTTCTTGGATATCAGGAAAACTACGCGCGCGACGCCCCGACTGATGGCTTCAACTACGCCACCGTATCAACAGCACTGGTCGCACCGCTTTCGAGAGGGACTGTCGGTATTCGATCGGCAGACATGGTCGACGCACCGGTGATAGACCCACGCTGGTTAAGTCACGAAGCTGATCGCGCGCTTGTGGTGGCGGGCTACAAGCGAGTGCGGGAGATGTTTGCCACCAGCACTATGCAGCCGGTGCTCATTGGTCCCGAGTACTTCCCCGGTGCAAATGTCACCAGCGACGAGGACATCTTGCACGTGATTCGCCAGACGATGAGCACTGTCTACCACGCTGCCTGCACATGCGCCATGGGCCGATCAAACGACAGCAATGCAGTGGTAGACAACAAAGCACGCGTTCTGGGCGTCCACGGGCTGCGCGTTGTCGATGCTGCTGCTTTTCCGCTGCTGCCTCCAGGTCATCCTGTAGCAACAATCTGTGAGTGCATCAGCGAAGCTGAATAGCTGTTACTGGTAGTTTACTAACTCTTTCTCTAGATGCATTGGCTGAGAAGATTGCAGATGATATACTCAAGGGCTTGGATCGCTCGGAGAAATGGTAAGGGACGGACAGGAAGACTTGGCATTCAAGGTATGGTAGGTGTTCATCGTTTGAAGTTGGTATCGCAACGTCTTGTACAAATTTTTGATGGTTTCTCGTGAGCACTTCACGGGGCAGATTTATTGGATCGTAAATATTATCAAAACTGAATCTGGTCTCTGACTTAGTTCTGATGAGATGGCCATGTGGAGATGCCAAGTACACAAAAATCTACATGTGGGCTTGAAGTCCATCGTCTCCCATTACCAGGCCACGGGGTGATGGGTCAACACATTTGTCATCAGCTATTACCTATGTTGTCCAGAATCAGATGAAAACCTGCCATGGCTTGTGGCTTACATCCTACGATGTGGGGGCAGGATGTAGGATTATCGATTGTGTGGCTAAAATGGAGATCCGCAAACGCGACATTGAGAAGGCTGTCCAATATGACGGCGAGTAGGAGCTGTTGTGGAACACATTGGAGATATACACCGGTAGATGGTCTGACCGGATTGCTTGTTACGGCGGTGGGCTGTCAGATCATGTAAGCGTTTTCGGGATGAGGACGGGTGTAAATAAGCACCCGCCAAGCCCTGCACGTTGGAGGGGCGAGTACGGGAACTACGGTAACATTATCGGTAACTCTTACGCGGGCAGAAGGTTCCGGCTCACAATCATGCTTGGGACACGCATTGTGGTACTCTAGAGCGAGGGCTATGGGTGCATGCTGCCGCTATGCCGAGTCTGGGTACGGTAGGTAATGCAAGTCTCATTGCCAAGCTTGCGAGCGGCACAGCTTCAGTGACACAAAGAACCAGCTCGCATCAGCCAGGCAGACAGCAGGCGTCCACTGTGCATGTGCTCGTGTTGGGCAAGCGCGGGTTGAATCAAAGCGACTCCTCAAAAAACGAATTTGTAAGCAAGAAAGATCAGTGTGCAGATGTCATCCGTCCATGTTCTCCCTAAATACTTTGATCTGTGATCGAGCATCTCCCAAGCCTCGTCTTCTGTCTACATCATCTCACAGTGTTCACGCTTGACTAACGCCCCTCATCAATCATCACAACACAATGTCTACATACCTCATCACGGGCTCCTCACGCGGCCTGGGCCTCGGCATTGCCAGCCTGCTGGCTTCTAAATCAGACGTCAGCAAAGTGTTCGCAACCGCTCGCAGTGAGTCTGATGGTATCAAGAAGCTGGTTGCAGAGAGCAACGGCAAAGTCGAGTTTGTACCTTTGGAAGTGACGTCCCAGGACTCAGCAAAGAAGGCTGCGGAGCAAGTGGAGAAATCGCTAGCTGGCAAAGGCCTTGACGTCCTCATCAACAATGCCGGGCTCATGCCCTTCACACTGGATGGCATTGAGAACATGAACGATCTCGATGATACATTCAAGATCAACGTCACCGGCGTTCACTACGTCACTGCCGCCTTGCTGCCACTGCTGAAGAAAGGAAGCTTGAAGAAGGTTATCAACATGTATTGCATCCAGTTGCTGCCACAAAATGCAGCATCTAATTGACACCACTACAGATCGACGACATTGGGCTCCATCGCAACGGCAGCTAAATTCAGCATCTTCCCCGTGCCTGCGTACAAGGTTGCCAAGGCAGCTCTGAATATGCTCACTGTTCAATACAGTCTGGCCTTCGCCGGCGATGGGTTCACCTTTGTTGCCGTATCTCCAGGTGTAAGTCACGATCTTGATGGTCTGTAAATCACTGCTGACTGCTTGTCTATAGTGGGTCCAGACTGACCTTGGGGGCCCAACAGCTGATTTGACCGTCGAACAAGGGTCGAAGGCTGTCTGTGACATCGTCTTTCGCGTTACAAGCGAAGACACTGGAAAGTTCTTGGATGTCCATGTGCCTGGCTGGGAGAAGGCTGAGGGTCTCAACCAGTATGCTGGCGAAGACCCACCATGGTAGATGAGCTGAGCAGGCTAACACCACAATACCATAGAGGTCATGAAATTAGACCTAAGAAAAGCTTATTTTTCGTAGCAAATTGACTATTTTTCTCGCGTCTAACACTTCGCACTTTGTCATCGTAGGTAAATACCCCAGCTGATGTACCCCACAGGCGAGTTTCTCACGATGCGAAGACCAGAAATCCTATTCTTCCTTAGCCTATGCATTTTGCTGTACTAGACCTGAGAAGGTACTGTGTTATTTATTAGATAGCTAGACTATACACCTTTCGTATAGACGAGAAATTACCTATTACCTATAGCCTTCAAAGTTCTTACTAGATCATTGTCCAGCACGAGGGTGACGCGGGCACACGTGCGTGACGTCACAACAAGCTTGGATTTGCTTTGTTGATCCCCTCCCGTTCCTTGTCTCCACCCTCATCACACTCCAGTACGTCGCGAACTGCAACAATGGTTTGCGGCCAGATTATGCCATACTTCTTTTCCGAGAGAGCAGGTTAGTAAAAGCTCTGAGGTGTATGCGACTATGCCAAGGACAACCCCATGCCAGATGGTGTGTAATTCTTTGGTCGGCCAGCAACACGCCGCACAACATCTTGAGAGGACACGGCGAATACATCCAGTAGAACCACACACGGTATTCTCATCTTACGAACAGTCGGAGTGTATCACAAAAAAAGACGTTCCAAGCTTTCATCCTGTCGAGTCGGGGGCGCCTTCGTACCCCAGTCGTTGATGAAACGGGTGAGGTCATTGACTGGGATTGTTACCAGTTCATATCGATGCAGCACGGGTCGCAAATCTTATCCGCAGCCACCTTATATCTACTTGCGAGACACTTTTGTCGCGTGATATCATCTCTTGCAAATCTTAGCCAGTATTTCAATCTTTCCCGTCTTTTGTGCAATCTCTCTTTTGCTCTACACTGTATCCCAATGATGTCTCGACCGCATAGCATGCCAGACTTTGCAGCGCTAATTGACACCTGTGCACCACTCCTGGAAAAGCGTATACACAACCGGCGACAAACCTCTCCAGATCGCAGGCATTTGCAACTCCGCAATAAACCCAGCGTCTCTTTAGCTACTGGACTGATCATGAACAGCGACAGTCAACGAAGTTTACCTCCAGGAAGCTCTCCACTGAAGCCCAGGAACCGCGAGGAGCCGGGGCTAGTAGAATCCAAAGAAGACAATGACGGGGGAAGTTTATTCTATGCTTATGCCTTGAGGGTATGCCTTTCCGTTGCCAGACCTGTAGTGAGGGGCGCTTACACTGACATAGTGTGGTAGTGCGACCTTCCCAGCTTACCTCCATGTATCCTCACTTTTGCCTCGCGGAACATCTGCTCGCGATGGTGGACTCTTGTTGAGCGCGAGTGTGCAGAATCTGCACGACTGAGTCCACAGCTCTTTGTCATATGCGGTGCACATCTAGACACGATGCGAAGCGACTCCAAGTTCTACGAGATTCGCAACATGTGGTTCTACACCTCACAAGATGGCGTTGGATTTCCACCGGCCGTCATTCCGTCACAGGCCGCCAATTCCTGCCTAGCCCCGGGTCCTCAAAGATCAAGCTCGGAAAATTCCGCCACGTTTGCGCTTGTCGACCTCGCGGAGAAACTTGAGAGGTTGACGGGCATCGTGGAAAAGAACGCTGAACAAATACATGCCCTTTCGGTGGCACAGTCGGCGGGGCTTGAGCACATGCAGGAGATTAATGAAGCCAACAGTTCCCAAATAAAGGCCATCGGTGATGCCCAGCTAAAGCTCCAATCACTTGTTGATCAGAATGCTTCACACTATATCGCCCTTTCCAACACCTCCTTCCAATCTCACGAGCAGACAAAGAAGTCGCAGGACCAGACGCGCAAGGCCCAAGAAGAGACCAGAGACATTCTGAACACTACCATATCCAAGTTGATAACGCTTTCCAACAACCAAGAAAAGCTTTCACAGACGTGCGAAAATATGATGCGAAGTGTTGAGAAGCTGAGCAATTCGGTTTCACACGTCAATATGACCGCAATCTCAGATATGGCCAGTTTGCAGTCAGCCAATGCCACATTTCCATCACCTGCACTTTCCAAGCGTATGAGTCCAGGCCCAAGAAAGCTCAATCGACGGATCAAAGGCGTTTGGTATGAGTATGATGAACCTTGTAGTACGTCAGGAATACTGAACAAAAGTGGTAAGGCTCTGGATAAGCCATAACCCACATAATATCGGAGAAAATGAGAGTGCGGCCCCTGATGTTCGATACTTTACAATCTTAATTGGATATAAGTATGAGAGGCTCTACCCAATTTCTTGGAAACTCTAGGGCCTGAGGCTGGACTTTCTGGTGCAGTAGATATCTCTAAACCAGCGAAAATATATCCCTGCGGTCCTATGACTCGAAATGCAGCCCAAACCAGATATTTCTGCGGAGACTTCTCACAGATTGTCGCCTGCCTCCTTCAACCTAGCTGCTAAGGCATGCCATGAAGATATGGTAATATAATGTTGGGATGAGAACTATCATAAGAGCTATTGCTGTTGCAGAAGTCACTAATAGGTGCTAGGACTCGGTGATTATGACACATATGCATTGTCCTTCATAACACCCATCTTTACCTCCACCATGCTCAACAACCATTGAAGGAAAGTTCTTTGTGACACATGAGAGTGTTTTATATTATCCCTTCATCATCTCAGAACTCACATGCGCTCAATTTTCATCCGCTGACATCCATCTCTCGATTGTGTTTGTCGACTCCTTTCGTAATCTTTTTCGCGAAATACCAAACGAGACCAGCACACCCAAAGCAGCCACGACAGTGAAGAAGGTCCAGGTCCCTCGAAATGCATGTGTCAGGCTGCCCCTAGTGATCGCTCGCTGAGTTTGTGGTAACTGTGCAATAATACTGGTCTGAGAGATGGCATCACCACTCACGAGCGCATGTGCTAACTCTCCTGAGATGCCTGAAGCAATTAGACTTTGGGTAGCTGGTCGCACGAGCGATTGGAATACCACTTGGCCGACGACAAGGCCGATTGCGCCAAAGACCATGCGCACAAAACCAAAAGCCGCAGTACCTGTCGCGATATCGGACTCATCGATACGCGTCTGGAGCGCAATGAGAGGAGCGCCAAAGTTAGGACCAAATCCCATTCCGATGACGAAGAGAACGCCAATAATCTTTGCACGAGTCGGAGAGGGTCCAAAGGAGATCAGCAGGCCAATTCCTAGCGTCATTAAACCAAGTCCTACTTGCAAAACCTCAAGAAAACGACCCGTGCTCTCGATTATGTAACCAGAGGTAATCGAGAATGTTGCCAGTGGGATCGCAATCGCAAGCATGTAGACACCAGCCATGGTCGGACTCTTGCCAAGAACAATCTGGAAGTATAGGGGGAGGAAGTAAGCAATCGAGTTGAAAACCAAAGCATCACATGCGCAGACTGCAAGGGCGCTGAGGTTACTCGTATCGTTGAAAATTCGTAGAGGCATAATGGGATGGCCAGCTCGTTTGCTCGCCCACCATTGCGTGAACGGGAAACCGACATATGCCAAACAACCGAAGAGAATGAGCACGATGACGAGTGGGCTTCCGTAAGATTGGGTGCCACCTATCTGCAGACCGACGAGGAATAGGACCGTTGCAGCCAGTATGGTGAAAGTGCCTAGCCAATCCATGGAAGCTAGACCCTCGAACAAGGCTGCTTTTTGGAGGGATAGATTGAGTGTAAAGTAAAGTATGATCATGGCGAACGAGATGATCGGAATGTTGATGTAGAAGCAGTACCTCCAAGAGAGCTTGTCCGCAAATATGCCTCCTAGGACAGGTCCCAAAGCCGAAGCTACGGCCCATATACCACCCAGGATACCCATGTATAACGATCGATTGCGGATAGTGAACAGATCACTGACACATACGTGAACCAACACAATCACACCACCTCCACCAATGCCTTGTATAGTGCGTCCAGCAACGAGCATGGCAGCATTTGCGGCGACGGCACAGATGATGCTACCAGCCAGGAAGATCGAGTTCGCTACCAAGATCACAGATTTGCGACCGAATATGTCCGACAATTTGCCCCAGAACGGAACTGAGGAAGCATTCGCGAGGAGGTAGGAGGATCCGACCCAGGCATATAGGGAGTCGGCAATGTGGAAGTCCTGAGATATCCTGGGCAAAGCTGTCGGTATGAGTACCGTGTCGAGTGCTGCCAGTGACATGGACAGACTGAGGGCGACGAACGCGAGTCGTTGGGAGCATGTGGAATTTCTTTTTGTAGATTCCGGATGGTTATTGGAGAGTGCCGAATCGACGGATGTCTTGGACTCTGTTGGTAATTGCTTGCAGCTGCCATCGTCTGCAGATCTTGCTGTATCCAACGATGTGGCTGTCCATGCCCCGGGTAGGGACTCTGGCGGTACTTGTGAAGGATTGGAATCGATCATTGTGCTCTTTGACAAGATGTTCTTGGAGTGCTTCCGGGTTGGCTGATAAGACGGCAATATTCCTGGTAAAACGCTCTTTAGGAGCAAGAGGTACGATAGGATCGTTCGGGTGTGAATTTGCGGTGTCTTGCACGATAGCAAGATCTAAGTCTGCTTGTAGGAAGTTCCTTGGTAGTTGCAGTGTGCAAAAGTGTAGTGGAGATGGGAGACGGACCTTGCTCATGGCTCTTGCTCTTAAGGCAAGCAATACTGGTTATCTTGACGATAACAACCTACCCCACACACTTTGAGCTGGTGCATACCTGCTCCTCATCCATGTTGCATTGGCTGGTGGAGAAGGCCCGACCCCACCGCGTTGATAGATCAACCCTTCCCTGGTCGAGGACATTTGTCGTCGGAGTTGGTGGTGAGAAACGACCTTCCTTTGGTAGGCTAGAACATGAAATTATCTTGGTGATTTTAATTAGAGAATGACAACTGGAGAATCTTCATCGTCAAGTGCGTAAGCGATAACGTTGGCGCATGGGCTTTCCTCGATGTTGGTACAATATCCAAATGTGATAGAAGGAGCAGCCCAACACGGGCAATGACCCCTTCCAATGAAATCCGCAACCCGTACTTTGTTTCTCACGCTTGATATTAGAGCAGTTATCAAGTCACACCACAAAGCTTGGCGGTGGCGTGGCTGTGGGACAACATTCGAGGGTCGTCGACTTGCAAGAACTGCCTTGAGCCTTTTGGGATACACGAGACGATTCACTTGCCGACAGAAATACTCACATGGTACAAACACAGGGTCTCATTGTGTGGCGTACCCACTCGTAAGAAGACCTTGTGATACGTTACTCCTGCAAACCCGCGTGCTAGTTGGCAGGGACAGACATAAACTACTCATTCTCATCTATTCCTTGGAAGCTCCCTGATATGCTCCCAGGTTATTAGTAGGTAGCGCGATATTTGAAGAGTATATACTATACCTATACAACAGTTTGACTGCCACATCCAAGAAATCAATTGACGGTGGTGCCGAGACGAGACACCAACCCGTTTAACCATGCCCATGATGAAATGAAAAGTCATGGTACGAATGCTGTGCAATGCCCCTTTTGAGCGGTTTGCTGCTCTCTCGGGTGCGCGCGTGGACCAGGTTACACAGTCTTCAAAGCTCGCGCGTTGTCGCATCGCCACATTGATCGCTCGACCGGCGACTCATTTGCTTGCGATGTACAAGATCAAATTGCCCACGCAGTTGGCATAGTCGTACAAAGTCATCGAGAACAGAAGTAAACGGTCATGTGATTCTCCACACTATGCATATTTCGGGGCTTTGGATATGATGTGTGCATGTGAGACATCTGCGTTGTCACTTCGTCAAGAGCTGGGTATGGCGAGAACGTGGTGATCATCATCCGTAGGCGACGTTGTACAAAGAAGCTTCTACAGGGACGATGAGACAAACCTGTAGCGGAATCTGGGTGGAGACTTGCAACGCTGGTCGAAGAATTTCGAGTTGATAGCAATGCCCAAAGCCGAAATGTGTGCCCGAGGGCGGAGCTCGAACGATGGGTACCAATGCAGGTTGCAACTGCCGGCTGGACGAGCCAACTAGTGAGTGGCATGGTCGGCCGGACTGTTCAGTGCCTGTGGTCCCTACCTAACTGTCCTGATACTCGGATGAGGATTACCTAGCTCAGTCCGCAAAACTCCAAAATATGGCTTTATATGGCTGTGTCGTCTATGCCGATATTTCAGCTTTGCAAACGTGCATATATAAAATTCACATGCTCACGGAAGGTTTCACTGAGCAGATCTAACAATGAGAAATGGATGATCGGAGAGATTATGTCCAACGCCGGAGATATGGTTCATATCGCCATAAGAGTAGGACCATAGCTGCGAGATACAAGACGACAATCGAGACCCATGTAACATGCTCACCACAGTACACTGACCTCTACCAGAAAAGCTGCTAGTATTTGACCCAGACAAACGCAACCTATATCAAGGACCAACAAACCCCAACTGAACTCTTTTTCTAAATACCACCATTTCAAAATTCATTCTACAACTCCAGACTCCCGGTCCCTCCCATTTGATCCGCACCTTCTCGTATCCCCTCTTACGCCAATACATACCGTTTATACACTCTGCCGCCAAAATCCATAAATCTACATGGCCCCTTTCGCCCTCCACGCCCTCAGCATGTAGCTTTGATCTTTCCACGTCCATGAGGTGGGACTCCAGAGCAGCAAGAGTCTGTAGAGCAAGTCCCTTCTACAAATGGCGCGGCTCGCCGTCGACACATACCGTCTTGATCTCCCAGCCTGTTTCCTTACCAGCGCCTTCTTTTGACCAGCCACCGGACCAGGGAATGGCTGCTGCGCATGCGATGACTTTCCTTCTTGTACCAGAAGTACCTTCCACTGTCTCGCCGCCGTTCGCCGTTTCTTCATCCGTTATCCCACCAGATAGGTTATTGCGTCGCGTGATCTCTGTCTCATCTTCCTCATATACAACCGCAAATACGCTCTCGGGTGTAAGAATTTCGTATAACAGTTGCCTGTTCGGAAATCGCAAGGTCTTGGGGTTCCATTTTACTGGGTCGGGATCCTTGTGACGGGAGAAAGCTTGGTTGCAAAGATTGCGTCTCGATTTTGCTAATCTTGTATTTTGTTGTATCTCAGTAGATGAGATGAGAACTGGCGGAGATACTTTTGGTGTCGTCATCGACAATGGCTCATCGACATCTCCCATGAGGTCTGCTGTGGGATGCAAGCGTCATTTGTTGAACGTAAAAAAGACAAAGAGTTGTGCAACGTGTTAAGGGAATACACCCGATGAAAGACTTCGCAAGCGGATATACTTTGGAGATAGATGCCGGTAATGAATGCTAGTCCCAAATCCGAATCTGAGCATGCACCTTCCTCTTTGGGACTGGGCTTGTCCCGAAGTCAGTCACAAGTACGACTGCAAGTTGCACCCTACGGCGGCTAACACATTTAATTGATGGGCGTTTACATGACACAGTGAGAAATGTCTACCACAAACAACTTTTTCATGATCTTGGGTTTCCTCTTGAAAATTAGCGAGGCTTCAAGTGGGTTGAGGGAGCGTGGAAGAGATTTACCTGAGTCATCATCATGTGTTGTGCTACCAAGACAACTCCGAGTGCCTTGCAAGATGGTGAAATCATCCCCGCGACGACATACGTCGATGTCTCCGGACATGTATTTACATTTTTCAATCAAGACCGATGGCAGTGTTGATGGCAGGGCCTTGATGATTGACGACTGTGGATCTGCATTGCAAGGCAAGGATGAATTTGGCAACATTGTAGTATTGGGTGACCTTGAGATAGGGGGCAGAGCTTCTAGATCGTTTCCCTCCATCAAGTCGGTCGAAAGCATACTAGATGCCATTGAATTGTGTCCTGTCGTATAGCGTCCAAGCTCAATTTCCTCGTAGTATCGGTCATATGCAAGATCGGTAGCTGCCATGGACTCGTGGCGAATTTCATAGGCTGTAGAGAGTGGAGAGTGGACCACCTGGAAGTCTCGGTGGACTTGCACTCCACCATGGGTGTCAATGAACACCCTGTGGTGCGGCTCTGAGATGTAGCCATCGCTGGTGGGGGAGATAGCGCTCTTTGACAAGAATGTGGAAAGAATGCTGAAGACGGTAGAAAACGTACTGATAGAGCGCGAGTTGGTTAGAAGACTGTGTGCGTGCCCGCCCGATGGCGCAGGTGTCCTTGGATATGAAGTCGAATCGAGCTTGTCATGGAAGAAGTGCTTGAAGAATACCTTTAGTGCGGGCGCGTTGGCACAGAATGCTCCGAGGTGAAGCTCAAGCAGACAGGTGAGCATTAGATCCCAGGTCCACCAGGTTACATCATATGTTTCGTAGAAGATGCGCCAACTGTAATAAGCCCGTACTGCACCAATAGCTACGCTAGCATACCCAATGGCGAATATTCCAAGCAGTGCGATCTTTTGCCGTATTGGTATGCGGAGGTTCCAGTATAGAAACGTGGGTAGGACCGCTGTTAAGAGATCTTGGGCAGAAGAGATAACGCTTGCAGCAAAGACGTCAGCTCCCTCATCGAAGCAGTGGAACTTGTACCCTCGTAGTACTTTTTCCATGTCCAATTGGTTCCAGAAAGCCGAAATTGGTTGGCAGCCGAGAATGGGAGCAAGCGTTAATGCGACTGTGTAGGCTGCGATGAAGCCGATGCAGAGCCATGTAACCCTACGAAAGGTTGTTGATACTGCTCGTGACGACAAGCGACGATAAAAAAGGAGTATCGAGATTTTTATTAGCCCCGATGCGACGCAGAAGATGCATTCGGCTGCCAGAACGTACTTGCGGGCTGTCACCATACGAGTGCTCTGCCCAATGGGATTTAAATCCCATATATGTTTTTTAAAGCCCATTTCGACAGCTAATAGTAGTCAGCGGGTTACTAATGGGTACCTAGGCTTACATACTGCATGGATAAAGAACGGTAAGGGCAATGGTGGGGATCTTGCAAAATCAGCTGTGGGCTCTTGGTTGCTTGGACTGGACTGACTCACGGTGGCTGCGAGCACAATCCAATCATCCCATCCGGGATGTCTTTGAATGATGATTCTGACCCAAAGCCTCGCGAGAACCATGGCCACAGTAGTAGGTCCCAGAATGCAAGCCAATATCGTAACGGTGTTTGGTCTGACCGCTGGGTTGATGTAGTTTGGCTCTGGCCATGCGAGCACAACTTCGATTGGCGGGTGGATGCCTCCAGGCATATTGGGGGATAAGCCGATTTTATTGTCTTACACAGACGTTGAATTCATGCAATACGTGCACTTTTAGAGAAGAATGGCATTGGGGATGCTTGCCATAAGTGCATCTTGAGGCTCGTGCGGCGTTTCGCCGACTCACATGAAGTGATCAGTTATCGCACGATGACTTGAAAAATGAAGGTGTGGAAAAGAAAGTTCTCGTTTCATGCAAGATCCTGCACAACCATCTTGGTGGATCGGTCAGTCCATTTGCCATCTGATACTCAATTACAACGGCACGCGCTTGCGGCATGAGAGACTCTTCCTAGTCGTAATGCTCGTGTTAGGGGAAGTACTCCAGCCATGAAGCCTACATCTAATCTTCTCTTTTCCTGTGGATCTTTAGATACTATGAAAAGATATTTGTATGCACAGAAAAATATGATATAGACAGTCTACCATGTTAATATTTTGGGTGCTTTCGGTCAAAAGTTATTGTAATGGATAAAATCATCGATCCAGGTAGCCTTTCGTTGACCGATCAGACGTTCTGATATGCGAATGAAACAGCTCCTGATATGTTGAGATTTACCGGATAGAAGCCTCTACCGAATGATTGGTGTGCGCTCTATGCAGGCCAGTTCAGATGCGGTCAGATGGACCACACCAGAAGGTACGAAAAGGTATTTTGTCCTTGGCGATCGTTAACATGTCGCTACACAGACCACCATTCAGGAGCCAAAGTACTAGAAGGGATAACCGATATCTAGGACTAGTCCAACGACAACGACAACGTCTTTCGTTGAAATCGGGCGAATCAATGTATTGGTACTCATCCAAACTGCTGCCTAGGTTGAAAAGCACACTTCTGATCAATACACGGTCTTCAGGCACAGAGTGGTATTTCTGTAGCTCCGTAAATAGAAGACTATCATTCCCAGAAGCGTTAATAGCTTTCTAGCTCGCAAATTTGTTACGTTGATGCCTCACCTATAGAGGTGGCATCCTGCTCTTGAAAGTACTAGTACCACGCAGTCCACAGATAATAAAATCGCTGTTTCAAAATTAGTAGCTGATCGTATAGAATAGTAATAAAGGTAGCAGGTGATATTTTTTTGCCTCTTTAAATTAATATATATCCCTTACTATTCTAAGACTAGGTTTATTATTTAAAATAGTGTGCGCATTAGTGCTTAAGAAAAAGTAGTGTAAATATATATTATATTCCATATATACTTGGCTATATAGAACGCCTAGAAAGCTTCTATAAAACTAGCACTAGCTCCTAATATAGTTATTCTTACTAGAGAGTTAGAGTTTGGCGCCCTTATATTCTCTAATCACTACAGTAAAAAATTGTTTACTATAGAATAGTACGCTAGGGGTTTACTATATAGGTGTAAACTAACCTCGTGTATACCTATAAATAGGTTTAAAGTAGTAGTTTACTTTTATTAAAGTAGTAGTTTACTTTTATAGTAGGGGTTTAAATTAAGTATAAAAAGTAGTTTTATTTCTATTATACGCTATAATACCTAACTAAGACTAAAAGGGGTAGAAAAGATTAGCTTTACGCTATACGCACATATAACATAATAATAAGTCATAATATTTTTACTAATAGGAGGTGGTGATAATAGAGGTGGTGGTAGAGGTAGTAGAGGTGGTGGAGGTAGTGGAGGTAGTAGAGGTGGTGGAGGTGGTGGTGGTAATAGAGGTGGTGATAGAGGTGGTGATAATAGAGGTGGTGGTAGAGGTAGTAGAGGTGGTGGAGGTGGTGGAGGTGGTAGAGGTGGTGATAGAGGTGGTGATAGAGGTGGTGGTAGAGGTGGTGATAGAGGTGGTGGTAGAGGTAGTAATAGAGGTGGTGGAGGTAGTGGAGGTAGTGGAGGTGGTGGAGGTGGTGGAGGTAGTGGAGGTGGTAGAGGTAGTGATAGAGGTAGTGAAGAAGATTAAAGAAAGGAGGGGTAAAATACTTAAATAGTTAGTAGGAAACTAGTTATTACTAATACTAGTAGATTAATAGAAGTAGAAATAAAAGTAGTTTACTTTTATAGAATACATAGTATAATAAACCCTATTTAGGTTTACTTCTTCTACCTAAACTACTTCTTAGTCTACTTTAGATAAATATAGCTACTGTAAACTGGTTTTGTACTATAGTGCCTATGGAGGTGGCATCCTACTCTTAAAAGTACTAGTACCACGCAGTCTACAGATAATAACATTGCTATTTTAAAATTAGTAGCTAATTATATAGAATAGTAATAAAGGTAATAAGTAATATTTTTTTACCTCTTTAAATTATAATATATATCCCTTACTATTCTAAGACTAGGTTTATTATTTAAAATAGTGTGCGCGTTAGTGCTTAAGAAAAAGTAGTGTAAATATATATTATATTCTATATATACTTAGCCATGCAGAACGCCTAGAAAGCTTCTATAAAACTAGCACCAGCTCCTAACATAGTTGTTCTTACTAGAGAGTTAGAGTTTGGCGCCCTTGTATTCTCTGATGCAGTGGAGTGCTGACTGTTAGGTGCTGTTGTCAGCCTTACTGTGTGCTGTGCTGTTGCGCTATACTGAGATAGGTTAGCGTACACACAATTCATCCATACCTAGTAATAGCCCGCTGCCCGGCTTTCAAATGCTTATTTCCGTCTTCTTCCGTCTTCTCACACCGCATCTATAATTGCCCTTTGCTGACCTTTGCGACATGCGCCGACTTGGAGCCTTGAACTTTCTTAGCAACGCTTTCACAGAGTCGGGGAAGCTGTCGTGGCTTGAACACAAGTGCTGATATCCTGGTGCAAGTCAGACAAGCCCGCACATATTCCAATAGGCCGACGTTGATACACTTCAGGTTCTATAGCGACCAAATACTATTCTGGTAACCCATTAAGCAGTAAGCCTCAGGAACAATCACAGCAGACCCGTATTTGTGGTTAATGGATATCACAGTTGCAGCCGCTAACGGCTATGTTCTTGAGAAGTAACACGGTCGACCTCCATCTCTACTCGTATCTCTTGCCCTAATATTATTAAATGGCGAAAAGACGACAATATCGCAGGTGAGGAGGGTATTACTAGTTTAGCCTGATGCTTTCGCACCTATTGTCATCAGCAAGACCACAATGCGGATAGCATCCTACATCCTATATCAATCTGGTCACTCCCACTGCGATGTCCGAGCAACCAAGCACCGCTTCTCCATGCGTCATATCCTGCTGGTATTGGTCACGATCCTTCGGAGCGAGAGGATAACTCTATCATGGCTGCTTTCGATTGACATGCCACTCAGAGTTTGCAGCCAGTGAAAGATCGGATCTCGCAAACATGCACATGTGCGGCTTCGTTCACGATGAATCTGTGCCTATTTAACTCCCTGGTATTATCTCTTCATCAAAGCTTTCATCAATGAATCTTATGTAGTCATATGTGGAGCTAAGATGGGTCGGCATGGTCATGGTGAGGCCTCGATATTGCCAATTCGATAGTGGCGAAAATTCATTAGAATATCTCCAGCCACCGCAAATGGTCTATTCAAAACATTCTTGGATATGGGGGTTGTATGAGACGAAATACAAACAAGAAGCTTCATGGCTATAAGCAACAAGTAAAATAGCTCAGAACGTAGACACCTTCAACATATGCGTGATGTGCAGATCAAACTTGCAGACTAATCTGCGACAGGAAACGAATTCATCTCTACAACGCAACTTATCTCTGTGGAACAATCCAAAAGAATGTCTCACACTGCTGAGTTACCGGCATGACAGGTGAGGCATATCCGCCATGTCGTATAATTCCGTCCACGTGGCCTATTTTGCTACAGTACCTTATCTGCAGAAGGTGACTCCGAGTCTTGATATCCGGGTCAACCTCAGCGGTCTCACTGCCACACAATATTCTGGAAGTGCATGAATCACCAAAAGGAAGTTTCCGAGTAGCTCGCATTCGGTTCCATAGGTCCGCCCTGTCAGCTGGCGGTGTCATTGCACTCCGATTCGTACTATTTCCGGTGCAAAATTCACATTGAACGCCAAATCCTAGTTTCTAGCGTGTTAGTTGTCGATGCCATAGTCATTCGAGCAGAGCTGTATCCAATCGTTTCGAAAGGGAGTAGCCTTTACTCCTTGCTAACTTGCCTACGTCTAGAGACACAATCTTCTTTCTCGCCTTCAGCAATAGTATGGATGCGTCTTGTCGTTACACAGTTTGTACTATGATTCCATAAAAATAGAAGATTTGAGGCAACTTCGTATCGAACTACTGGTGTCGTCGGACTCAGGCTGATGCTCAACGACGGCGTGCCCTGGCTGTTATGGGCGACTGTTCAGGGCCTGTCATGTAAGCACGACGTTGCACCCCTGTTAGTTCCCGTACTATGCCAAGTTCGGACGAGACAATGTGGTGTAGCCATCACTCTAACCGAGAGAAAAAAACACTATACGCCAATACAGCGGCTTACATGCGGAGACTTCGATAGTAGTAAGGGGGGCAGTGCTGAAAAAAGATCCACGACTGCCGAGGTGAGCGAGGAACCGATCTTAGGTGCATGCAGACTTGATCTTCGGAGGTACCACAGGAAGTCTCTATTGGTATTCAGGCAACCGTATCCTTGTCGTTGGAATCGGCGGGGCGAATAGGGCTGGATCTAACTACCGGTAGCGGACGGCAATGTTCTCAGCCCGTGCGCATGGGCAACGATACAAGGTCAAGACTGAGACTTCACATGTGTAGAGCTAGTTCCTTGTGCCATCATATACTAGTATTCGTAGGGAAGATCACCTTACAGTGTTAATACTATGTCTGCAATAATGTCTGCTACCGGTACTCTGGAGCTAGGCTTAGCTAGGCTACTTTCACTCTGAGGATCAATGACAAGGATATCGCGACGCCGGGCACTGGGCACGTGTGGATGCTAGTGCATCGTTCGGTGTAAGTCTACAGCATCAAACAAGGCGTCCGCCTAGCTAAGAATCAAGATGGTGATGAGCAGAGTGGGGCATCGGTATCTCTTTCGGCCCGATTCTGGCCTAGGAACCGTCACTACTGCCCGCCAGATGGTACGACATTGAAGGGCGGCTCAAATACATGTGTTTCCAGTGTGCGGTCTAGGCCCGCGAAGTCGTAAAATGTGCATTCTTTGGTGCCAGTACAAAACTACCGGCACACACTAGACTTGCAAGAACTGCAGAGGGTGACACTTTTTTAAAGACTGGCTGGGCAAGAGCTGGATTTTCATGGCGAAGGCTCGAGCAAAGTATGAGAACTATCAGGATTCAGGCCCCTTCGAAGCCATTCTTTTACTCGGAAATGCAAAAACCAAGATTACAATCACATGTCATGGAATGCCACTATTCTCCGCTTTAGGCCGCCGGATGGAGCTACCTGGAAAATAAAATCTCACGGACCGAGGCAAAACTATTTTGATCTGGGCATGTCCTTGATTGTGCATATCGGTTAATTTGTCTCCAAAATTCTAGAATCAGTGCCTTGGTCGTGTTGAGATAAGGTCCTATCATTGGGTACTACGCTATGGCAAAGTCGTCTTTGCTCGTCGGGAAACTCAGAAATTAAGACCGATCGAACAGGAGGAGAGCTTTCATAGACAGCATCACACCTTGACCGCTGCAAAGGGTCTCACGCTCTAGGAATATTTTTCAGGGTCTTACTGGTTTCTCATCTTGCTCGCCAATCCCCTTCAAAAGGTCACTAAAATCTTAGCTCCTATTTCTGGTTCTCAGGTCTAACCGAGAGCCGTCTACCTCTGCTGTTTCTAGATTATTTGATGAGCAATAAGGAGCATTAGTCCTAGACCCTTGAGATGGTTTGGCCACACCGTACAGTGCACACATTCCGTCTGAATCGTTCCAATGTGCGGTCTTGGGCATTACGTTAATGTACGTCTGTGCAGCCTTTGTGTACCTTGGAAAGAACGGTACCGCTAGGTATATGGCACTGAGTTTTTCAGGGACGGCATTTCTGGGATACGAGAACTAGGCAATTGTTCACCTAACTAATCACGGAACAAAGGAATAGTCCTCAAAGCGTATTAGCTCATCCCCAATCTGTGCATATATCCTGTTTCTTTCGGTGAATTTCTCTCGTAGACCAGATGACCGTAGCATTATGACGTGGCACTTGAGTTAAATTTGGCTTCCACTTGTCCTTGTTTTGTCTCTCGCTAGTTAGCACTGTAACAAGTCACTAGAGATGTAGGTGCAGCCACATCTGGGACGGGCTCGGCAGTTGGGCATCGCCACTTATCCTTCTAGACTTTTCTCAGACACCAATTTGGGAGTGGCTAGGACCAAAAAGGGAAAATATCTGCTTGTCTATTCGTCCGAGGTGCCATGCTAATTACTAGAGTTGTGATCCTAGGCCAATAGCGTCAAACCTAGCGCTCTTGCATCAGGTCTTCTAGAAGGTCATTCGGCAAATATATTATTGGCTTCATGGCGATTGTTTAACACAAGCAGATTTCCCATTTGTCTTTTCTCAGTACTCGATCCCAGGCCCAGTTCCCGTTCTTAGCTTCACCTTTAATGCACGGAGGCCGCAATTGCGGGCTTATGTCTTGTTATACGACGCCCATAGTAAGATGAAACTGCACGTTTACGCTGTTAGACGCTGTCATCGGTGCCTGGTAGGGACCATCGTAGCTCTGAGCTTGCCGTTCGACCGACTGTCAGAATTGAACATACAAGCATACTCCAAATGCTACAGACGATAACAAATGTACAAACGCATGATATGTGAAAGGTATAATGTCTGAGTGGGATCACACATGTGTTTGACGTATATATTCATTATAATAGCCCCTATATCTTCCATACACCACTGAGCGACATCTCTTTGGAGCTTTCAGTCCAGAATTTCGGGACTTACCATCATGTAATTGTGGCGAAACAACTACTCGCATGGCTCAGGATACCTTACTAGTCCTATTTTTTTTTACCGTTGCAGGTCTGATATCCTCGTGTAGTAGTTCATTCACACTAGTCCCTTGAATAGAGTAGAATATCGGCGGGGAAATTGTCTGGTGGCAAGCCCCGAAACAGTGCTATACAGGGATTTTCTTACTGAAAATAGCGCTATCAGCAGTGATTGAGCCACTCAACTGCTAGAGACACGGCCATTTTACGCTAGGCACCTAAGCAGGGAAATGGCTGCCGCAGCATCAACCACCAAACACTGTGCCAATCATGGTATCAAAGCTCACTTCGAGTAGTGCTTTCCATAACAGGTACACTCATTGGCCTAAATCATTTTGTAGTCATCCATGATTTCCCACGGCAGAAGTATATAAGTATCCTTCTTCCTCGCCTTGAGGACGGCAAGCCACTACAATCCACATCCAAGACTTTGTATCATCACCAACACTACTACCGTTCTTTCCACTATTTTCCACTTTTGTCCCAACGATGAAGTTCACCGCTGCCCTGTTTGCCCTCCTCGCCTCGACGACAGTAATCTCCGCCGCCGCGATACCTACACCTCAAGAGACCCGCAAGTATATCAAATATAAGACATTGGGAAAAGACAGAGTACCATGCGATGGACGCCATTCTGCAGATCACAAGTGCAAGAAACAGGTGGCAACACCTGCCAATCCGTATACTCGGGGCTGTGAAGGCCAGGAGAGATGCAGACAAAAGACATCAAAATGATAAGACATGTAGGTAAATGACACCTTTTGAGAGGACATGGAGGTGATGTGGAAGAGAAAGGTGGCCACTAACTGCAATATTTAGGATTCTTTTTAGAGGCGCAAAGCAGTGAAGCAGAAAGAGATCGGTTATTGAGAGGAGATGAGGGGATGATGGATGGTCACATGGGAATCGCGTGGTATATTTGGGATCAAGAAATGAGGCGTTAGATAGACGGGGCATTTTTGTTTAATGGGATTGTCTTGCTTGGTTCTGTAGGCTCGGTATTGAATCTATCACTGGCCAAAATGAACCACAAAGCTCTATGATTTGTGCTGCCACTGGTACCGGCACTGCATAGTTGACTTCATCAAACTGCATTCTTCTCAACTGCTCCGAAATGAGACACCATGATGCGCGGGATTGTCGCAGGATGGCATCGGCTCGATGATTCTAGGCACCCAAGGCGGAAAAAGAGGAACGACGCCACTCGATCCTTTTGCCTTCAACCCTTTTCTCCACATCTCAGCATCTGCCGGCAATGGAAGCCGAACGACCAGTGGCGGGCCAGGCACAACACCAACCTAGCCATTGACGGGACAAGAAATAAGCGCATTGTGACATCAACCGCAACCATGCAGGAGGAGGACCAACACATTCTGCGCAACGAGGCGCGCGCCAATCCTGACGAATATGCGACATGGGACCCAAACGACCAAGTCCGCCGCGAGTATGATGCGCGACCCTAGATTCACGCTTGACCCGCACTCTCACACGTCGGCGGACAGAGAAGCCCTTGCCCAATCTAGGGGCGGGTAAACCGTTTCCACCACCGCTTCCAGATCGAGAAGAGTATGTTGTGGAATTTGACGGCGTGCATGACCCGTTGCACCCGCAGAATTGGCCTATGAGCAAGAAGCTGTATATTGGTGCTATGCTGGCGTTTGATGCATTGGCGGCGACCATGGGCAGTAGTATTTTCAGTGCGGCCACGGCACCGGTGAGTAGGGAGTTTGGTGTTGTGCGGGTTGTGGGGACGTTGGGGACGAGTTTGTTTGTGTTTGGCTATGCGTTTGGTCCGTTGGTATGTCTACACGTTTCCATTCCCCAGTCGTCATGATTTCCACTTGATCGCTCGAGTCACTGGGCATGTCTGAGAGGAAGGCGGACGGCAAGGAAACTGTACTGATACCATGTGTGTAGATGTGGGCGCCCTTTTCCGAACTATCAGGCCGCAAACCACCACTCATCCTCGCTGCTCTGGGCTTTGCCATCTTTAGCATCGCCGTCGCTGCAGCAAAAGATCTCCAGACCCTTCTCATCTGCCGTTTCTTTGCCGGCGTCTTCGGTTCCTCCCCACTCGCCATTGTCGCCGCTGTCTTTGCAGACATGTTTGATAATCGACTCCGCGGTCTCGCCGTGGCCGTCTTCAGCGTGACTGTCTTCATGGGTCCATTACTAGCTCCTTTTATCTGGAGCTTCATCACGGAATCTGAGCTAGGGTGGCGGTGGACAGAGTACGTGAGCGGGATCATGGGGTTTGTGGCATTCGGTCTACTGCTCTGCTTCATGGAAGAAACATATCCGCCCGTTGTGCTTGTGCAAAAAGCCAGTGAGTTGAGGCGAAGGACAAGGAACTGGGGGATTCACGCCAAGCAAGAAGAAATTGAAATTGACTTTAAAGAACTCATCATTCAAAACGTCAGTCGTCCAATGCGCATCCTCTTCACCGAGCCCATTGTTTTCCTCATCACTTTTTATATGAGCTTTATATGTAAGTGGGAGCATCCCTTGGCCCTCAGTCCTGACTGTACTTTGACCCGAAATAGACGGTCTACTTTACCTCTTCCTCACCGCCTACGCTCTCGTCTTCCAAGGTGTCTATGGCTGGTCCTCTGGCGTCGCAGGCGTCGTCTACTATGGCATGGTCGTTGGCGAAATGATTGCCTTTATTGTCATCGGTGGAGAGATTGGAGAATGAGCGAGGGCCGGAGGGATGGAGGAGAAGAGTCCGAGTCCCGCGATCAGTCAACGCGGAAGGCAAGTTGGCCGAGCGAAGAGGGCCCGATGTGGCGCTCGCCCCGCCCAATCAGCACCGACTTCGGACGACAGTCGTCCAGCGATGCCCCGCAACACCAGATCAGATTGCTGGACAGGAGAATGCGTGGACAGGAATGGGCGTGCGGGGCCAGTGCCGAGAGCAGAGCCTCAAATGCGGCGGCCGGCTTACTTTCCTTGTCACGGCCGGGGGCGGCTTTGGAGGATGGAGATGGATGGGGGATGGAAGACTTGGAATGGCTGAGTCTTTGCACTAGAGAAGAGTCCTGGACAACAAACCTATAATACTCTCCTCTACCAAACCTCTTGCCATCTCACCTACTCCTCCTATACACACACACACACACACACACACCTTGCTCGACTACACCAACACACCAGCACAAAGACCTACTCTCCCAAACAAACAAACAAACAAACCACCAACATGTCCATGTCGATAGAAGAATGCCAGACGCCCCGGCCAGGCTTCCCAAAGCCAACACCAAACACCCCAGCAAACATCATGCAGCAATTCAGCATGGCAGGCAAAGTCATCGTCGTCACCGGCGCCGCTGAAGGAATCGGCGGCGCCGTCGCAGACGCAATGGCCGAAGCAGGCGGCAACGTAGCCCTCTGGTACAACACCAACCCCAAGGCCAACGAGCGCGCCGCCACCCTCGCCCAGCAACACGCCGTCAAGACCAAAACCTACAGCGTCGACATCACCGACGCCGCGGCCGTGGAACAGGCAATGGACGCGGTGGTGGCCGACTTTGGCAAAATCGACGTCTTTGTTGCGAATGCGGGTACGGGCGACAGTAAGCCGCTGCTGGAGCAGACGCTGGACAGCTACCACGCGCTCATGAAGGTCAATGTCGACGGCCCCGTCTACTGCTCCAAGTACGCAGGCGCCGTGTTCAAAAAGCAAGGGTTTGGCAATCTGATTCTCACCTCGTCCATTTCTGCGCACATTGTCAATGTGCCCGTCGACCAGCCGATTTACAATGGCACAAAGGCGTTTGTCTCCCACCTCGGCAAGAGTCTGGCGCGCGAGTGGAGGGAGTTTGCGAGGGTGAATATTGTGTCGCCGGGCTTCTTTGATACAAAGATGGGGGCGGGGCCCAAGGTGATTACCGAGGGCTTGAGGATGATTCCTTTGGGGAGGCAGGGCAATGTCAAGGAGATCAAGGGCTTGTATTTGTACCTGGCGAGTGATGCGAGTAGTTATACCACAGGAAGCGATGTCTTGGTTGATGGCGGTTATACGCTGCCGTAGAGGCAAGGAGAGAGAATGAATAGATTATGAGTTATGATTGCACACATCTTGTACACGACATATTGGCGAAGATTGTCTTGACTTGTCGACTACCATAGATGCTTCTGGAAGCGGATCTCCTAACGTAATTGATAAAAGTGCTATAGGCTCCGAAAGTTGGTGGTATTCGGGTGTCGTGAGTGGGAGAGCTGTTATAGAGCAGTGTTTGTGAGCAGAGGCGACACGTTGAAAAGCACAGGGTATCAGAAGTATCATGAGAACTAAACGTGAAGGGCAGAAGCAGGCAATGAGTCAGCACTGGCATGCGACGACCAAATGACCGTCGCGTTGTTCCATCTGATGGGACATTATTGGTATGCTCAAGATGCACAATCATGTGACTAGGTTGAAGCACAGCACTAGTACCTGTATTCCACGACCCTGTCCACGAGCTCCCTATAGTATGCAGATGAACCTCCATACCCATGGACCCAAACCGCAACAATCTCAGGACAGAAAAAAAATAGGTCAAGTCACCCAGCAAGCCACAAACCAGGCATAAACCCAACAGCAACCCCAACCCCAGCACCACAACCTACGCATAACACCCCGACACGCTCATGTAGACATACTGCCCCGCCGCATTCCTCCTACGAACCCTCAGCATCGCCGCCGTCTTCATCACCGTGCGCAAACCCGTCCGAAAGCACAGCGAGCTGTGGAAATCGCGCTGTCCAATGAAGATCCAGAACTGCTTGAGCACCGGCTTCCACTTTGTCACCATGTGCGGGTGCAAGTACAACTTCATGTGTGACTGGGGATAGTGAGAGACAACCGTGACACCGACCGCGCCGACAGCTTCGAGCATCATGTAGCGCCAATTGAGATCCGAGGCAAAGGCAAAGTTGCGCAGGAAGCGATTGATCCAGTCGATGCAGCCGTAGACATGGTAAGGGTGGTAGGGACGATTGCTGTACAATTGCGATGCCAGCAATGTCAATTCGAAGCGGAATAGCAGGGCTGGGGAGCCGGTGAGGGCGAGGAGGAGGCAGAAGAAGTTGTAGCGTTGGAAGTGGATTTCGTCGGGGACTTTGATGGTTAGGTCACCGTGGTAGGGTTTTTGGATGCCTTTGGAGGGGCGGATGAGGAAGGTGTCGATGTAGTTGCTGTTGTCTGGAGAGAGGCTGATGGAAATGGCGGTATGCTTCATGTACATGGGTCGGAATTCGTCGCGTATCTGACGGTTCGTTTGCGTGAGACTGCGGTAGGCACCTGCGCTATGTTGCTCATTCGGGCGACGTCGCAGTGGGATGATGTCGTCTTCGACGCAGTATTCGTAGATTTTGTTGCGCAGCTCTACGAATTGGCCAAATCAGTGACATCTCTCACAGAGTACGTTCTGAAGCGCTCGAGATTAGACTCACCGCCGGGCAGGCTGGAGAGTCTGCTCCTGCACGTCATCGGTCAATATGAACTGTGCTATCTGGAAAGTTAGCAATGCACAGTGTTTCTTTAAGATTGTTATCGACTACGTGCTGCAAGCTGCTGAAGAAGGAAAAAAAGAAGAAGCAACGGAGGTAGAAGGTTGCATAAGTATTCGGTGGCCAGCTTGGGAGTGAACCCAAGGTGAATGAGAGAGGTGAAATTACCTCTAAACCTGATAAAGCAAACGTGTAAAGATTATCATCCAAAGGAGATTGCGTTTTTACCTCTGACGTTGTGAGAATCAATTAGCCAGGTCTTGAATAGAAATTCATTGATCTGATATTGCTACCATACAGCAAGATATAAAGAAAGTATGTGTACTCATCTTATACCCCCTTCCACCTGACCTGCAGAATTTAACAAATATCTACTGCGTATGACCAAGGTTTCAGGAGCATGACCAGGGTGAATGATACCAAAGAAACCAAGTGATGAGGACGTGCCTTTCATGCTTGTATCACGTTTATGCCGGAGGTACTGTGCAAACAGTGCGTGGCTAAAGATGCTCATCTTGATCAATCCAGCTGCGAAATATGATAGCCGGACAAGCAGGCTGCAAAATATATCCAAGTGACAAGAACGGCAGTAAACATTAAAATCTATCCTTTTTTCCACGGTAGCTGTGCTGAGCCTAGAAACGCGCAGAGGTTGCTACATCACTTGGCATCACCGACTCTCTCTGGAAGCAAAGAACATTAGCCAATTTACACCCCATGGTGCTTGTAGGGAAACCCACATGAACCGCACCCAGAAGCTTCAACGCACTCCAGGCATCTAGAAGAGAATCGTGGGTATGGCGGTGGCTTGACGCAGCGGGTATAAAATTTCTACACAGTATGTTACTGCGCTGAGAACCCCAACTCATGATAGTAAGTTCTAGCACTGCCATTGGCAGTGAACAGGCCCAGAAAATATAATTGCGATGGGAGGTAAAAGATAAGGGTAGTCCAGCACATAGGACCTCAACTACTACGCTACGAAGAAGGAGAAGTTGGGGCCCAGTCCGAGTCAGTTACTTAAAATAAGACCCTGTAGGTGATTTCTAGACTCTAAATGGATATGACCTGTGCTAACCCTTCTACTTACCTATATACCCCACGCTTTCACACCAAGTACATGCAAGGGCAAAGTCTCAGACTCTATCCTCGCTGGTGCTGACCGGGGCGTAAGATTGCAGGGCCGAGGGAGAAGTTTTCCACTTTGCGAGTTTACGAACGAGGACACTGTTGCAAGGGATGAGTACGAGATAGAAGGATTGGCTGGTTTGGATTGTACCGATTGTCACCCCCTCAGCTGGGACTCTAGTCCAGATTTGCGGTGTAGCCGATACAAAGCCGTTCTATTTGATTGGCATTCTCATGAGCAAGAAACGGTGATGCACTTACTATAGCAAGCCCAGCACAATCAAGGCAACAAAGACGTTGCTGACTGGATGGCTAATCGTCTTCTTCAGCATGTCCTTGGTGCCATTAGCATCTGACGTCTGGCCTCCGTCGCCGCCGCCAATTTTACCATCGGACATGGTCTGGCTGCCGGCGCCAGTGCCATTGCCAGCCTTCGACGATGCCTTGCGGGCGAGATCGACGACCCAGGCTGCGGCCTCGTCGCCCCATTTGTCAAAGTAGTTGAGGTGCTTGGACATGTCCTTGTCTTTGGTGTGGGGGGCGCAGATGGGATCGCCTGGCTGGCAGTACTCGCGCAGGATGCCGGCGTTGTAGTAGGGTTGGAGACCTTTGTTTTGCTCGTCTGTTCGGGGGGCGCCTCCGTCCGAGATTTCGCCGCCGCCGTGGGTCCAGGGCATGCCTGCGGAGCGACGCGTGGGGCCAAATGCGACTGCTGCTATGACTGGGGAGTCTGTCAGTATACGCCTACAAGCAGAGGGTTTCCCGTGGTGGGAGGAAAGAAGTTACTCTTTGAGCCTGGCGCAGAGGCAATGTTCATGGCAGGATTGTCTTTCTGTGTGCATCCCCAGAGTGGACCACCGCCTCCACCCAACACGTCCAGCATGACGCTTCCGCCCTGGCTGAAGCCCATGACAATCAGATGGCTGTCAGGACACCTCTCCGTGTAATTGCGCATCTGGGCCGCGCCATTCAGCGCACCCTCGTGCGAAGAGATGCACCATCTCTCTCCACCATTCATGGCCCAATACTGCACATCCTCATACCCACATGCGTTGGGGTTCTCGGCCGTGTTGAGCTGGTCGCAGACCTTACCGACAGTCTCAATGACATGGCCTGGATAGGGAGATGTCGAGCCGCGCGCGAGAAAGTGGTGATATGTCTGACATTCGGTGGTGTTGAGGCGCTCAAACTGTGGGCAGTCCTCGAGTTTTGTGCAGACGGCAGCGGCGGTGGCTGCGTAGAGGAGCGCAGAGACGAGGGCGGTCCGAGAGATCATGGTGGAGGTGGATCTTGCGTGGTTTCGATAGGCAGGTGGGATACGGTCGGTGGGAATTGAGAAAAGAGCGACTGGGGGTTGAGTTGAGGAGACTCAATGACAGATGGGTGGAAGTCTAAGTCAAGGAAAGGAAGGTGTACACCAAACGAACGCGCGGTTGGAGGCTGTCTCGCAGTCCTCACATACGCGGCCGTCTCTTGTTCCACTGTAGATAAGTTTCGCAGGCCAAACAAAAAGCAAAATCAGGTACGACGCTCGCTCAAGGAATACGACAGACTGGCAAGAAGGCCGGATTACACACAAAGTACAGAGTGACGAGATGACAGAAGGGGTTGTCAGGTCAAAAAGCAGCCAGGCCCTGATGACATCCAAGCGATGGAGTGGAGCCACCCACCCCCCAGTCAGCATGCCCAAGCTCATGTACTGTATTGTTACTGTATACATACTCTACAATGATCGATCAAAGCCAGTTTTGGACAAGACATGGATGGGGAATGATGGGATGGATGGCTGTTGTTTCAGAAGTCGTCGCGTCTTACCAAGATCGGGGGGGGGGGGGGGTTCCACAGAGATTGTGCCAGGACATTGGCCGGCGAAGCGCGTCAGCCAAGAAGAAGCTTCCTTTGCGCCTGCCGGCCCGTTTAAAGCCGAAACCCCCGGCCGGTTAGAACGGCGCGGGTGGCGAGTTTGTCAGCCACTTGCAACCTATTGGATTGTGGCACGGTGGCATTGTGGCTGGCGCCCCCTGAGTCCTCCACGTAGGTAGCAAAGAGGGGCGGCTTGTATGACTCGCATCGCCTCCAGCTACACAACTCTAGTCTCCATGTTTTGTGGGTTCCATTGCACATCACAATCGTTGACAATCCCCAGAAAGAACTAGCCCTGTTCCCTGCTTTACAGATCTTGATCATGCCGATATCCCACGGCTAGCCATGCAACGAACCCGCATTATATAGTCGGCCTACATGGGGTAGTGTGTATAGGTATGTGCATCCTCATCCCACCGAGACCATGTACCGACCACTTCTCTCCTTAATTATTACAGCCATGATGATAGAGACCTAGACAATATCATTTCATCCCCCAGCGCTGCCGCTTCTTTCCTTCCTTCACATCTGCAATTTTCGGTTCCTGTCTGTCTCTCTCCTTTGTCCATGTCTATCATGCCTTGTATCAAGTGGATTCTTGTCAACCGCCATGATTCTGCCTCTTCCCTTCGTCCCAAATCCTCTCTCCCCTCGTATGAGCCCGATGAGGCCAGCCTTTCAATGTGCACCGCACTACAGAAGAGCTGGTTGGAAAGCTGCGCGTCTCGACGGCACACTGCACAAACCTTTGTCGCGACACCATTCGATTATAAAAGATCCAAGATCGAACCATTGATTCCATGTGTCCCGTCCCCAGACCTCATTACTGGAGGCTTTTGGTTGGCCACCTGGAGGTTGTGTACACAGCCTTAGCGTCTATGACTAAGCGCAGTGCTCCCTCTGTTTACAGTATTTACTGTTTACCACCAAATCTCGCCCCGGCAAAGTCTGTCCGCATTCCACCACCTTGCTGTCGCCGCATCTGCACTCACGGCTTCTGGAACGCTCGTAAAACATCGCCATTGCAATGCCCGACATGGACAAAGCTATTCCTGGCGTCGCTGGCGTGAGCAACTCGCTACAGACCAACGATACACGCAGTCTGCTTGATACAGTAGATCGTCTGCGCTCGCAGGGCATCAGCCGTTATGTTGATCTACCAGAGATTGTCGTCTGCGGTGAGCAGTCGTCTGGCAAGAGCTCCGTCCTGGAGGCGATTTCAGGTGTCAAGTTTCCAAGCAAAGACAACCTATGTACCAGGTTTGCAACGGAGCTGATATTGCGTCGTGGCCCCATGGCACCTGTCAAAATTAGCATCGCGCCAGACTCCCAAGTCGTTCGAACAGATGACGAAAAACAGATCCTCCTCAACTTCAAGGTCTCGACTGCGCTGGAAGACCTACACCTCGACACAATCATAGAATCAGCCAAGGTCGCCATGGGCATCAACGACACCAACAAAGCTTTCAGCTCAGATATACTCCGAGTCGAGGTCTCTGGACCTGACCAGGCACATCTCACCCTTGTCGATCTTCCCGGTCTTTTCCAAGCGGGAAGTCGTGGGCAATCTGACGCAGACAGCGAAAAAGTCAAATCACTTGTTTTGAGATATATGAGGAGTCCGAGAACGATTATCCTGGCCGTCGTCTCCGCCAAGAGTGACTTCAACAATCAGTCAATCACACGATTCGCGCGAGAGATCATGATGTAAATGTGCGTGTGCGTAGAAGTGGAGTATATACGTTGCAATAAACGAAGCGAATACGACCCAACATTCCATGACTGCCGTCTAACCTATGCCCAGCCATCGAGTACCTCTACACCAACCACATCAAACATATCCATCCCAACTCTAGCCCAACTCCACATCACCACTCAATTCAACCCGACACCCTCCTCCCCCCTCCACTCCTCCACCCACGCCCTCACCGCCTCAAAATCCCTACACGTCCGCTTAACACCCCACCCCGTAACATCTACATGTTCCCAGCCACCTTTGTCCCCACCTCTCCCCCTCCTCACAACCCCCTCCTCCAAATTACTATCCGCCGCACACATCAAACTCTGCCGCAGATAATCAAAGCAATGCGCCAGATGCTGGGATTCGAGAAAAGAGGTGAATTCCGGGGAGCGTAGGCGGGTTTCTAGGTAGGGATTTGGTGTGAACTGGGGGATGTTGGGGTGGTCGTGGTCGTGGTCGTGGTTGTCGTTGTGGTTCTCGTTGATTGGGGAGCGGGGAATAGGGGGTAGGAGCGGGGGAGTGAGGGGTTGGAAACGGGGTTTTTGAGGGGAGGGGGGAGGGGATTTGTGTTTGGATTTGGCGAGGAGGTAGGATGTTGCGTGGAAGGCGGTGTGTAGGTTGTACTGATGGCTGGGTTAGCTGGCCTATTGCTTTGTATATATACGCGCACACGCACACACGCACAGAGAGAGAAAGAGAGAGACTAGTATTTCCCGCAGCATCTTGGCAATCGCAACCGGGCTAAAGGAGATGGAATACGCACGAGACAGTGGATACCATGGAAGACAGTGATGCCCTTTTCCACAGGGCTGTCCTTGGGATAGCGCACGCTGCCGCGCCCCTTGGGCATCAGTGCCATCCAGGCCTTTTCCGATTCCGGGCTGGGTGGGGCCTGGAAGGTTTCGTTGCGGTGCCAGACGACGTCTTTGAGGAGGTGGGCTGTGTGGCCAAAGGGTGCTGGTTAGGACTTGCGTTAGTGAGGACTGTTATGGCCGTTGGTTTTTCATGCTTTGGGGTTGGGGTGGATTGAGGTGAGGAGTACGGTGGTCGTGACCATGTCCTCAGGACTCAGATTTGGGACTGCAATGCAACGTACCAGGATACCCGTCGATTTCGACCTCGAGACGGAAGAAAAGTTGGCTCAGGATGCTGCCGGTGAGTAGGCTAACAAGACAAACAAATGCGTAGCAGAAAGCGTGTTTGCGGCGTGTGCGTCGACGTCCTTGTTCGGCGATAAGCTTGTCGATTTCATCTGGTAGAGTTGAGGGCCGATTTTCTGTTGGACTGCGGTCATCTTCGTGCTCGGTGAATTCTTTGGAAACGTGGTGATAGGGTATAGTAGTGCTGCGCACGAAGGGGTTGAGATTCGGCATGATGATGGACGTGCCCTGCTACCATGTGCAGTTACAAAGTTTGAACGTGTGAAAGGATGAGAAGTTTTTGAGGCATCGGGGAATTTGGGGCAATGGTGGCGGGGTGGTGAGTTTTGCGCTTTGTTGCTGTGCTGACGGCCATTATGGAGTGAAAGTGTTATTCAGACCCCAAAGAGGAAAGCCCAGCTCATTGAACTCAAAATGGCACGTCACGCAGCCTAACATGGACAAGGATGGAGTACAGCCAATCATGGGAAAGGATGATTAATTCGAGTCGAAGCTACGCATAAGGCAGGCTAAACTAAGAGCTGGTTGCTGTTGTCGGGAGAGGGTATCAAGGAACTCTTGGCATCTTCAGAGGTCGGTTGGCATCCATGGCGGCAAGGATGATGGGACACGACGGTTTGGATATTAGTTTAGCTTTTTGTTGCCGACCTGGACGGTCCTGCCCTGGCTACGCTGGTACTGCAGGAAGCCAAAGACGGCGGCGGCGGCAACAGCGAGCATGAGAACATTGCCTGTCGTATTGTCAGCCCACGAAAACAATGCCTGAGATCTCTTTGAGAGGTACCGAGGATAAAGCTGACAAGGCCACCAGCTAGATCGACCAGACCGCGGAAGAAGTTGACGACAAGGTCGAGAATCTCCGTGACGAACGTGAGGGCGAACTGAGCTGTCTTCTGGACGAGGGTACCAGCAGTGGTGAAGAAGGACCAGAAGAGCTCGATGACGGAGGCAAAAATGTCAGTGACGGCCTTGATGATGGACGACATGTTGGGTTGGTAGTTGTTCTTTGGAGGGATCGACTTTGAAGGGTAGTGCTGATGAATATTGCAGGGCCAAAAGAAGTGCTGTGTAGGTTGATGTGAGAAGGCTGTAGGGCTATGTTTGCGACGTCGGATGGTGTTTGTGCATGAACTGTTCGCGACGGGCGTGGCTGCCTTGACATGTACTTTACACATCTGACAAGAACGTGACGCCACAGCTACGTTATCGGTGTGAATTCCGGTTTGCTGGTGTGCTGACAACGATCCTGTTCTTTGCGACTTGTTTGTCTTGTCGAGGTGGCTGGTTTAGGCATGTTTGCAGCCTTGTTGGTGAGAGCATGACGTCAGGTGTGTGACACAGTGTGAATACACGCTTGTGGATCTTGTTGGAAAATTCAGCCAGTCAGCGAGCCGATTACTGTAAATGGTGAAGAAAGCGCAGCAAATCAGACTGTTTGGAGAGGTGAAATGAAAAGAATGTGTTTGAATGGGACAATGTAAGCCGTACCGGTAGAAGAGTGCGCCAGTGATTTCGCCAAATGACGAGGTAGATCCCTTGCAGAGCAGATCCAGATAGGTGGTTGCAGCATTCTTGGCTAGGGTCAGTACTGTATAGTATAGAGACTGGCATATTTCGCCTTGGAATCCCCCGAGATGGGCCCGCGATCTCAACTCACATGAAGCTCATCAGATGGCATTGTGGTGGTGGTGGTGGATTAGAGTCCGTGCGCAGTCTGGGGAGGAGAGGGTCCAAGCGCGCTCCCCGCACACGTCACCGTCGCCCGGGGTTAGGCGGAATTTTGGAGGCCCAACGTTTCCTCGTTGCAACCGTAACGCGCGGACGATTTTTTGTCGCAGGC